ACAGATACAAAATTTAAGCAAAAGGGTCTCTGACCTTCTTAACCTTAACCGAGTTCAGACCCACCCCTCGAACTCCCTTCCTGCCTGGTGTGAATGTAATTAAGGGGAAGCTGCAGTGGTAATTTCTCTCCTCATTAACTTCCTGATTGGTTTCAGCCTCAGGATTCTGCCGGGCAGTAGTTTGTCACCAATTCCAAATGGCCAATCGTTAATACTAATGTTTGTGTAACTAACTGCCAGCATCTGCCACGGCTTCTTGTACAACAATAATGGTGAAAGGGTACATTAGTGCTCCTGTGTTAATTCAGCTTGTGTTCATCAATAGGGAAATCTATGATGTAATTAGCACAATGCATTGGGAGCTGAGTGTTGAAGTCATTTGTAGAGAACTAAATCATAGGAGCTGTACTGGGTCCTGATGTGTTTGCCATCAATACTTACTATGTTTGGAATTTAATAAGGTATAGTACCACGCTGAAGAGACCCTTTTATAAGAGAACACCATTTACGCTTGTTATGAGTTTGGGAAAGTTTCCTGCAGCGAGTGAAACCACACATAAATAAAAGAATAGGGCTGGGATTGAAGAAGCAGACCTTTAACCACTCCACTGGACCAAATCATTTCAGAGAGCCCCTTTCTTCTAATGTGGACAGACGGACGGATAGTTTTGTATAGCTACCTCAATATCCAGTAAAAAAAGACATGATCTGAAAACTTATTAATTGAATAACTTTGAAAAATAATTTAGGTGATTTCCTGATAAGTCATTTTCATATTCACAGTACTTGTTTAGTAACTTCAATGAAATGCAAGAGTAATAGTTTGTAAGCTCTTTTTTATAAAGGAGCCATTAAATGGTAGTACTTAAAAATGCCAATAAGGGTGCATATATAAATATTAAGTAACAACCAAAAAACCTGGAAACTATGAATTCTGAGGCCTTCATTTCATTGCAGTTCATTAAAGGCTTCTTACTAAATTTGAATTGTTATATAGATTTACAATTCCCTGCAAATTTAAGGTGAGTTATGAATTGTGTTACATGCACAAGGATATTGTATATACACAAATGTTTTCCAAAGGTGGTAGACTTTGCTATGACATCTTGTTATTTACTATACAGAGATCTGGAGCATTAAGAGCCAGCCAGAGTCCATAAGTTAATCTGTCAACCCTTCATCCCTACTTCAAATCAGGGACAGCAGTTCTCTATAGAAGCAATGGGAAGGGGATGAACATTTCCTGACTGCTTCCTGTATGCCACACACTTTATTGAGGTATCCTCTCCATTTTACGTAAGGGACCTGTGGAAGCTGCCAAGGGCAGTGTGGCACTGGACAGCCTGACCCTCTGGCTTGCTCTCGTCCCTGCACCATCCCACTCTTGTGTACCCTTTAATCACTGGCAACTGAACCTTCCTAATCTCGGTGTGAGTTTAAAGAGGCAAACAACCGACCCTTACCAGACTAATGCAGAGGTTATAAGGAATAGATAAGTGGAGCCCCAGGCCTGCCTTTGCCTTCAGTTAGCGGCTGACCTAGAATTCCTACCCCTCACAGGAGTCACACACCTCCCACTCCCCATTTAGGGGATTTGGGCCTACAAAAGAGAGGTGGGGTAGGAATTCTGCAAAGGAAAGGAATTTGGGCCTAGATCCCCTTTTGCTCTCACTTGCCTTGTGGATATTTTCTTGGAAAGTATTTCTATGACTTGGGGCTACAAAAATATGCAGAGTGTTGTCACCTGCATAGACTAGGGAGGCTCTAAGCAAACTTAATGCATGACTGCACTACGGAGAAGATGCAAATGAATGAACTCAACCTGTCTTGAAACACAACTATTTTTAAAAGCATTTCTCCACTCAAAATTTAAATCCATGTTATTTTACTCTGTTCAAGGCGTAGCATTGTCTTTGAATAATGGGCTGTTGAAATTAGGGATAGTATCTGTTCAACTCATTTTGGTAACACCTCATAAAAGTAGATCCAAGTGCATTAAAGATTTTGTAACTGTTTATCTTAGTAACTAAAGTCCAAAATCTATTTTACTACCATCCTTAAAGATACTCTCTCCATTTGAATGCAGCTTCATTAAACTGTGTTGGTGGAAGAGAAATAATTGATCATTGTAAATAATTTTATGCCAATTAAATATTCAAAAGTCAAAAATATCCCTTTTTCTTTTAAAGCTAAAGGAGTTCATCACCACCAAACCAGTATTATATGAAATGCTGAAAGGTATCCTTTAAGAAGAGGAAGAAGAAGAAAAAGGTACAGATACAAATTATGAACAACAAATACACATCTATCAACAAGTGAATCTAAAAATCAAGTGAATAAATAATCTGATGAACAGAAGGAACTGGTGATTATAATAGAATCAGGGGCATAGAAAGGGAATGGACTGACTATTCTTGGGGGGGAAAGGGGTGTGGGGGATGTTGGAAGAGACTGGACAAAAATTGTGCACCTATGAATGAGGACAGGGGGTGGGGAGTGAGGGCGGAGGGTGGGGTGGGAACTGGGTGGAGGGGAGTTATGGGGGGAAAAAAGAGGAACAATTGTAATAATCTGAACAATAAAGATTTAATTTAAAAAATCCCTTTTTCTTTTTAAGTTGATTCTAATGAGCCCGGAACAAGGCTCACTTCAGCTCTAAAGGTTTCTCTTAATTATTATTTTTTAAATGGTAATGTCTAGCGTCAGTGGGACTGTTTAGGAAAGGGCTGTTGTTGGTAGCACTAGAAATTGGTTCAATCTTTCTGGACAGCAACCTAGTGACATGTAATAAGAACCATAAAACTGTTCATGCCCTCTGACCTGGTAATTCCACTTTGGGGAATAAGCCCTAAGAAAGAAAGAATAATTGGCCCATAGATGCTCAGCACACCGCTATTTGCATCAGTAAAGATGTTATGCTTTGCTGTGGTGCTGGGTGGGGGGTGGGGCTGAGGGTAGCTGCTCTTGGGTTGGGGTCAGGAAGCATTCACAGGCAATCCACAATTCAGGATTACGCCACCCTGTAGTCATCAACAGGCTCCCAGTATTTACAGAAATGGAAGAAATGACTTCTGGAGGCAGAAGTAGAGACTGAACAGGAAGAAAAAGGGAAACCTGCCCATCTGATCTTTTCACATTACAATGAAAGTGGTAAACCTCTGAGGGTGACCCCTGTTTGAACCAGCAAGCCCAGTATCTGTTTTCTCTCAAGTAGCCTATTTGTCTACAGAAGCTAAAGGGTATTTATTATTATTTTAAAAACAAACAAAAACTTACAAATAACCACTCTTACCAAGAATGTTGGGGGGAGGAGGGGGAGAACCTTAAGATGATTTCAGTGATACCATCTAAACCATCGGTATTCTTTTTGGAAAGTAATATGTACTGCCCAAAACCCCACCCCTATGAAAAACAAAACAAAAACCACTCTAGCTGCTAAATCTTTTGACATTGCAAAGACCCCTGACTTTTAACTTGAATGATCTGTTGGAAGTCAATGGACTGGAACGAATAATTCTCTTCCAGTGATGTGAGAAAACCGGATACTCATGCTTGAGAAAAAAATTTCTCCTTCTATATACTATTAAACTCTCACTAAGAAACCATTTAAAAATAAAAATACAAGTGGCGTTTTTCAATTGCTAGCAACCCTTCACTTAGATGCAGACAGGGAAAAAAAAAATGCTGGCCTCTTTAGTTTCCTAGTTTACAGGCCCAAGAGTCTGATGAAAAGCTGATGAATATTTCTCAAACAACAAATTCTTCTGCTTCATGATAACCATAGTGTTTGGAAATAAAATCATGTCCAATCAATACCACTTAGCAGATATTTAATGTTTCACAACAGAACTCTTTTCCAGAGTGGAACTGTGGCCCTTCTCACTAACATTCAAAATAATTAGGATTATCTTAGCTGTCCAAAGCTTGGCAGGTTCAGTTTGCACTTTCAAATAGCATTAATTCTTGGCACTCAGAACAAGGGATAAAAGCTAAAGATATGAATGGAGATCTTTATTCAACCTGATCTATCATGGATTAGCTCATTCTTTTCCAGTTCATGCCTGCATTCTAGTTAAGAGGAAGGCTAAGCTGTAACTGATGTAATTAGAAACCACAAGCTCAGAAAAAATAGCCCGTTTTTTCTTCCCCATTTACTATTTATCTAGTAAAAAAAATAATCTTTGAAACAATTAAATGTTTTTTCCACATAAGTGTAATTAAAGAGGAGTGAGGTAAGCTTTCCTGAAAATATATCTT